TACTGTTGTAAGGGAGATATAATCTTGTTAATTTGTTATCGACATGTAAACATGGGCAAATTGTTATTTCCATACAAACGATCGTCCTAGCTGCAACAACTGCTCTGAGTGGCTCGTTTCAATATAATTTTACATTTGCTCAAATTAAACTTCAGGTCAGGTCGAAAACAAACGCAAATTTGTATGCCAGCGATGTTGCTTTTCTTAGATTTGGTTGGATAGATATGTGATGAACAGCCTGAAATGCAAATTAACTAAAGGTTGTAAAACACAAACTGACAGACAACTGGTAGCACAGGAAGTCTGGACTGGTCACATGGTCAGAAGTGAACATAGGCAGCTGTGACTTTTTGTGTAGCTTTGCACTCAGATATTTGGCACAGAGGCACACAACACCTCCAAGATCATTTTTAAAAATGTATTATTTATGACTATGACCACCTGAACCCAGTTTCACCAATAATTCAGCTAATTCACTGCTCAGGGCCCTGTATCTGTTAGAAAGCCGCTAAGTGGCTATCTTTTTCTACATAAATGACCAGTCTTGCTGAAAATCTCCCCAAATGTTGAAGCGCAAAAAAACCAAAACAACTTGAAACCAAGAAAAAAAAACATATGACACCAAACCAAGAACAATATGAAAATTTGTGTGGCGAATGCTGCCGTTTAATTGAGGTCATATTCGTGAGGCTCTGTGCCATTGACAAAACCCCAAAGGTACAAAAAATAGAGTCAGGAGATGGACTCTAATTTTGAAAGACTACCGCAAGATCTGGCAGCTACTTCTGGGCAATGGGGCAATAACGTGGGACACTAACTTGCAGTTGGTGGAGGCGAACCGAAAAAACCCTTATCCAGTGGCACAACAAGAGGATGAAGAGGCAGGATGTGGCTGTGTTGCTTCAGGGGATTCATTTGCCCGCGCCTCTGTTTGTGTCTGCTCAGTCTGTGTGTGTGTGTGTGTGTGTGTGTGTGTGTTTGATGCTCAAAAATTTTCAGGTTTCTGAGAGATATTCATCTGGCCCATAAGTTACAAGGTAATGGAATAAGATGATAAAAAGTAAAAAAAAAAAAATGCCTTATGACTAAAGACTGAAGAAGTACAATAAAAAATTGATGTTGTCGACATAGACTTTGGTTGATTAGATTTTTTTTCTTCAGATTTGTGGTTAGATATTCTCAGGGAATAACTGTAGCAAAATGCTGGAGGTGAAGTGTGGAAGGAAATTTTTACCGTCATGCAAGGTTTCGCATGACGCTGGGACTACGTGGGTCTCCCTGCTGGTGGAGCATGGGAAAAGAGGGACCTTGATGAGGACCTTCTGGAGAATGTGGGCATCGATCCTGCTACCATATGAGCTAATTCCCCGCTGCCTGGTATTCCTTCTCCTCTGTACTTTGGATCTCTGCACGACCTTCCAAGAAGCGGCAGGATGGGAGAGCACTTTTTGGGAATTGGTGCCCCCCATGGCCATCAACCTGTAGGTTCCATGGTGTAATGATTAGCACTCTGGACTCTGAATCCAGTGCACAAGGGCAATAACACACTGGCCAGTTAGCTCAGCTGGTTAGAGCGTGGTGCTAATAACGCCAAGGTCGCGGGTTCGACCCCTGTACGGGCCAAATCATTTTGGTGGTAGTATGTTACTTTTTATGCTCAAACAAAAAAGGCAAGGAAGGCTCTCCCCGTCGGGAAATTCAACCCATGCATGACAGGCAGGGACACTCACCACTATTACTAACAAGGATGAGCACCACACAAGTTTTGCTAGAGTGAGAGCTACACCCACAAACAGCTGTGCTTCAAAACAGATACCTTTGAAACGCATCTCCATAGTCACATATAACAAGGGTTACATGTGACCCCTTTGGCCAATGATTGGGGTTATGTCATATGCAAGTTCCAAATACATGAAAAGCAGCCAGGATATTGATCCTGGAGTGCAATGCATAGAAGAGCAACACTTGAGCTACTGCTCTTCCAACTAATGCAGCTAGCAATGTCTTTTGCCAATACAGCTGGCGGGAGAAGCAGATTAGCTGTTCCAATTTTCTTGGCATCTCCTCCTTTCCTCCTCTCCTCTCCTCTCCTCCCCTCCTCCACACACTTCCGGACCTTATGCTCAAGGTCAATTCCAAGGACATACAGGGCTCTGTGCAGAGTCATTGCAATCAGAGGATATTCATGTTTGCCCGGCTAGGTCAGTCAGTAGAGTGTGAGACCCATACTCTCAGAATCGTGGATTCAAGCCCATTGTTGACTTTTAATAGATTAAACCATCAGGGCCAGCCATGTGTACAGGTACAGGCGGCATTTTGTTGCATTGTGCTTTCCTCCTCCTCCAGTCAATCAAGTGGGGTGGAAACACCTCGTCATTTTTCTTTATTCATTGATGTTTTTTTTTTTCCAAACGGCAAAGCTGCAAATAATAACAGGGGCGCTGTGGCTTAGTTGGTCAAAGCGCCTGTCTAGTAAACAGGAGATCCTGGGTTCAAATTCCAGCAGTGCCTGTGCTGCCAATTTGCTTCTTCTCACTCACTTGGACACATTGCCAGTGTCCCACAGGAAATAACCCCTGATCAAGGCAGGAGTGGAAAGGAAAACCTTCAGCCATTTTCATTCTTCCCAACAGCGATCAGGCTCTTGTGCTGAGAACATCTGAGTCCATCAGGCAAGTCACTTGTGAGTCCTGTCCGCCTAGGCGTATGTCCTGGGTAAGATGGCCTTCTGGTCACAGAATCCCATTTTATTTGTAGTTTTCCTATTTTTCTTATTAAACACCGTCCAAATCCTGTTAATTGGGTCTTACTGTGAATCCATACTTTGTAGTCCTATTTGTGACCACAAAGAACATATCCCCACAACTCCAACTGAAGACAAACTGAAAAAAAGCTTTCTACTTTTCACCTACAGCTTATCAGATTCGAAAGGATTTTTTTTCTGTCATTGTAACACACTTGCACGACATTCCAGGGCACTCATGCACATATTGCAAATTTCAGGCTGCCTCCACACTTCCCATTGGTGGCCTCAAAAGAGACAACGTGACATCACCATGATTTCACATTAGCCCAATCTTTGTAAACAATGATTGCCATTTTAGAAGCAACCTTATCAACTGTTGAATGAATGATCCATAAACTGTGAGATGACAGAAAATTGTCTTTGCCAAAACATCCAGTCCAGATTCAACAGATCTTTTCAAGGGCTTCAAGAGTCACAGAGAACTGAAAGTACACGTCAGTTTTCAGATGTCTGAAGGTGGCCATCATATACAGGGTTTTTTTCTCACAGATTAAGGACTTAATCTCTCTGTTTTACGGCAGAAAAGAAGGGTTTAGTGTATATAAATTCCTTTCAGTGGCATTTATCTAATGTAAAATGAATAAATGGATGCTTCACTCAGACTTCTCTCCTCTGACATGAATATACCTTGTTATAATTGAAACTGTCCCTTTTTCAATTTTGCTCGATCACCATGTAACCCGGAATAACAATATGGAACGTAAAGAAGCAACCTTATCAAGTGTAGATTGCTTGCTCTACAAGCTGCAAGATGATAGAAAATTCTATTTGCCAAAACATCCAGTCCTGATTCATCTGATCTTTTCAAGGAGTTCAAGAGTCACAGAAGAATTGAAAGTACACAGGACAGTTTTCAGACGTTCGTAAGGTTCCAACAATTGTGTGTAACTAGGGTTACACTTAAAATGACCCCTATTGTTTAGCTATGGTTGTGGCTGCATCATATGGAAGTCCCCAAATACATGAAAACGAGCCAGGATGCTGAGTTCAATGCACGGGAAAGCAACACATGAGCTTCTGCTCTTGTTCACAAGTGAGAAAACCATTGTGGGACATGGAGCGATTCCGCTCATCCTGTGATTGAATGTTGAGTTTTGCCATCCCTGAATTTGCCCCTTTCAATGGCCATCAACCTGTGGGTTCCATGGTGTAACAATTTGCACTCTGGACTCTGAACCAAGTCCACAAAGAAAGCAGTCTACTGGTTGGTTAGCTCAGCTAGTTAGAGTGTGGTGCGAATAACGGCAAGGTCGCGGGTTCGACCCCTGACTGGCCAAGACTTCTTGGTGCTAGTGTGTTACTTTTTATGCTTAAACAAAAAGGCAAGGAAGGCTCTCGAATCCATGTGTGACCAGCAGGGATTCTCACCACTATTACTAACGAGGATGAGTACCACACAGGTTTTGCTAGAGTGTGAATACTCCGTCCAACTGTACGTGTACGTTGCAGTATGCATGTCAGGTTTGCATCTGCCGAAGTGGCTCAGTTGGAAGAACGTTAGACTGAAGATCTAAAGGTCCATATTCTGGTTCAGTCCCGGGTTTCTTCAGCGCTGTGGTTGTGCAGCAACTGAGGTTTCGATTTCAGTCAAATGCCAACTTACCTTGTCACAGCAGTTTGCCATCAACCCCAAGGGAGCAGCCCTTTACCACGGAACACATCATTTGCAACTAGTGGGCAGTCAGTCTGAAGATGCGTCCTTCCTCCCACCACCCACAAACAGCTGCGCTTCAAAACAAATACCTTTGAAACGCATCTCCATCGTCACATATAACTAGGGTTACATGTAAAATGACCCCTTTGGCCAATGGTTGGGGTTATGTTATATGCAAGTTCCAAATACATGAAAAGCAGCCAGGATACTGCTCTTGGAAGCAATGCATAGAAAAGAAACACTTGAGCTACTGCTCTTCCAACTAATACAATTAGCAATGACTTTCGCTTATATCGCTGGTGGGAGAAGCAGATTAGCTGTTCCAATTTTCTTGGCATCTCCCCCTTCCTTCCTCTCCTCCCCTCCTCCTCATACATCCAGGCAGGAGACGAATGGTAGTGGGGGAGTGGAGGAAATGAAGAGAGGAGCAAAAGAGTCAAAACACACCCTTCGATTGTGGGGGAAGGATGGTCAGCACCTGTTAGGGGGGTCACATGAGATCACTGAAGTGCTATGATCGAGCCTGACAGAAAACACAGCAGCCCCTGGGTGGGCTTGAATCACCAACATTTCAGTTAATAGCTGAACGTGCTAACCGATTGTGCCACAGAGACCAAGATACAGGCCGTTTCGCCACGTGCTCCGTTTTATTACTCCTCCTTTTGTCCTTATGGTCAAAGTCGAATCCAAGGATGTATAAGTCACTCAACAGAGTCATTGCAGTTGGCTGATTTGCATGTTTGCCCGGCTTGCTCAGTTGGTAGAGCATGAGACCCTTAACCTCAGGATTGTGGGTTTGAGCCCCACGGTGAGAGGTGTTTTGCAAGCTCAGAGGTGACCTGCGACAGATTAAACAAGCAATGCATGTAAGTAGAGGTGGTGTTTTGTTGCACCTCTGAAGAAATGCTGCACTTTCCTCCACATCGTCTCAATCAAATGTGGGGAACCACCTCATCATGTTTATTTATTCATTCAAGACAAATAAGGGGGCGCCGTGGCTTAGTTGGTTAGATAGGCCACGTTGTCAAATACTCGCCAGAAAGGTCTCCCAACTGGCTGCTGACACTAACAGTTACAGGACTGTTTGTTCAAGATTTATACATGTTTTCAACTTCACACCTAACCACATATTAACTGATTGTCACGGCAAGCCTTACTAGTACCACAAATAAACAAACATATGTTAACTGTGTTGTACTGAAGAATCTTATCAAGTGTAAAAATAGATAGATACCGTTGTGTACAATTTGCCTCCCCAGCTGAGTCCTCACTACTCACAATGTACCTCCTAAACCTCCCACCCAGGCATGCAGCTGATATGCACTCGATTTGCTTACATACAGTTAAAGAAAATGATGATTAACATTCCTACGGCTGCTGGCAACCAACAGCGGAGCTTCCCAAGTACCGTGGCCAGCTCACTCTCATCGCGTCCAGATTTAGCAGCCTTCCAGACATATCACCAGGTCACCATTTTTTTTTTTTACAAATACACTAGGTATACTAGAAAACATAAACACCTGTGAGGTCTCCACTGCCGTTTTGTCCCTGATGGGTCTGGCCTCTACTCATTTTGTGAAGAAGTCTGTGGCCGTCAAACAGAATCGCTTCCTGTTCCTTGATGTCTTGAACGGCCCATTGAGATCAACACCTTAGTTTCTAAAGAGAGACAGAGGAAACTCATGAATCAATAGTTCTAAATCTGATTGAAATGCTAACTTTCACATGATGAATAATCATACCAATCACGTTCCATGGTGCCACTGGTTTGATTGGCTTCATCTCTGGTGCCTCCGTCTTAACCCGATCAAACTTTTGGCACGGGACACAGGTGCTGATCTACAAGTAAAGGTGCAATAAAGCAAAAAAAGCTGTGTTAAACTGGAGAAAGGTTTTGACTGAGGTTATAATTACACTGTACAGTTTCTATTGTAAATACATAAAAATGCTTCAAGATATACTAGATACAGTTAGGCTGTACCACAGCTATCATTGTAATACATTATACATTTGATACATTATGTATACAATATCATTGTGATGCATTATAATGGATTTTATGTCAAAATAATGAAAACTATAAAGTGCATATGTGAGACAGGACCTAATATGGATCAACTTACCCATTACTCCACATCCTATCTGATGTTATGCCAGTAGAACCGCTGCCTAATCTTCACCACCATGCAGTTACGTCCAAAGTGGCAGGCGTGGACCTTGTAGCAGCCAATTATGTAATAACTACCATGCAATAACTGCCAATAACGTAGTAATTTTTCCATTCTTAATGTAATAAAAGTCAATAACGTAATAACTTACCAATAATGTAATAACATTTCTGAACCAATCACATTAAAACTTTTTGCCCATAATGTAGTAAGTTATTACATTATTGACTGGTTATTACATTATTAGCTGGGTTAAAAAAAAAAAAAATCATTAAAAATGTAATAATTGGAGCCAATAATGTAGTAATAGACTTATATCACTATGTTTAAGTTTTATTTATTGTCAAGTGTCAGGCTTCCATAACATTTACCCTTACTGTTGCTATTGGCTGCTACAAACCTCCGTGAGGATGGCCACCTTCTCCTCCTCAGAGAGCGCAACCCTCCTCAGGGATGAGCCATCCGTCCCCATGTATTAGAAGGTGAAACCTACAAGAAAGAAAGATAGGGATACATCTATTTAGTTGCTAATACTGTGATGGATCAGCTCGATCATTGTAGCTAGCCACATCTCTCGTCAAGCTGTCAACTCACTAGTTATCTATTCTGAGTAGAACATTATTAACATACACAACATCTAAAAGATCGTTTTAATAACAGTGTAGAAATATGACATTTGTAGACTGAAATATGAACTGTGTTGTTAGATATCTCTGAGGTAATAGGTAATGTCTTCCCTCATCTGAGTAATTTCTACTAAATAGCGCTTGGCAGCATTAGCTAACAAGCTAGCTAGTGCTAATACAGCTAACAATGTCTTCCGCTAATATAGCTGGCAGTGTCTTTCTCTGAGGTAAATTTTAGGTAGCTAGCTAGCGATCCAGTTAGCGATTTAGTGAAAGCTAGTAATGAGAGCTAGCTATCTGTCAGTTATCTAAGGAAGCTTTCAGCTTAGGAAGTATCTATTGTTTGATTAAGTTTTGGTATTTTGCCTCCATGCTGACAAATCTAAAACAAATGTAAAGTTGTCGTAGTATTTGTATAGTCAGGTGCCAGTCGTCTAGGGCAAAGTCTTCTCTTTCCAAGCCCCTCTGAGGGAAAGTGACAGATTAGGATACAAGGATTCCCTCTTAACCATGAGCGCAGAGCAACAACGCCAAAATTCTACATTAAATGGTCTCATCCGGAACAATTTGCCTGGCAACAATTTTCTGCCCACACACGGCCACCTGCGTTGGCAGCTAGCAATCAAGCAATTATTCTTAGGTTATCTTATGTTTGTCATTTAGCTTGCTAGCTAGTAGTCGCGAATGGCAATCTCTTCCTAAATTCTGTGGTAAACTCGTGTAAAACTGTGAACCATTTAATTTCCTAACGTTCTAAACGTTAGGGCATTCCTGAGTCCAAATAGCAACAGACGCCATGTCAGCACTCAAATCGAAAGGCCTTGGGGTCGAAGGATTTCCTTGTGTTTGTTTATGTGAAATCATGACTCCAAACAGCGGAATGAGAGTAACTGACATTTTAACGCATGAGAAGGGCTGGCGTGGATGAGAAGCGTATTTGGCTTGGGTATTCTGGGTATCAATCTAAGTTAGATACCTCATGGACAGACACCGTCGATTTTGTTGGCGGGAGAAGCAGATTAGCTGTTCCATTAGCAGATTAGCTTTACTCTGCATCTCCTCTTTCCCTCCTCTCCTCCACATTTTTTCAGGTGGTGGTGGGGAGGTGGAGGAAGGGAGGAGAGGAGCAAGGGTGTCAAAACGCACCCTTTGATTGATTTGCCTCTACAGTTCACTAGATTTTCTACAATAAGGGTGGAGGGAAAACTCTACCGTCCCTGGGTGGGCTCGAATCACCAACCTTTCGGTCAACAGCCGAACGCGCTAACCGATTGCGCCACAGAGACCAGATTACGAGCATGCTCCGTGTTATCACACCTGACTTTATCCTTGCGCTCAAGGTATTTTCCAAGGACATATGAGTGTCATCGTGGGTCCACTGCAGACACACCATATGTATGTTTGCCCGGCTAGCTCAGTCGGTAGAGCATGAGACTCTTAATCTCAGGGTCGTGGGTTCGAGCCCCACGTTGGGCGACATATGTTTTGCAAGCATAGTGTTGACATGCAATAGATTAAGCCAGCAATACCTGTAAGTAGAGGTGGTGTTTTGTCGCACCTCTGAAGAAGTACTGCACTTTCCTCCTCATCCTCTCAATCGAGTGGGGGGAACCTTCTCATGACATTTAGTTATTAATTTATGTTTTTTTTTTTCCAAACAGCAAAAGCAAGACAAATAATGTGGGTGCCATGGCTTAGTTGGTTAAAGTGCCTGTCTAATAAACAGGAGATTCTGGATTCAAATCTCAGCCATACCTGCAGTCTTCATTGTTTTTCTTCTGCATAACCAGTGCCTCATTTGGCCAGGTCACCAGTGTCCCACTGTACATGACCTCTGCTCACAGCAGGAGTGGGAAGGAGAAACCTTGTCAGTCACCAACCAAGCACAGCCATTCATTCTTCCTGACAGCAATGAGGCTATTTTCTTGTGCTCAGAACATCTGATTCCATCACTTGTGAGTCCTGTCCACCTAGGCGTATGTCCATGGTAAGCTGGCCTTCAGATTGCGGAATCCCATTTTATTTGTACTTTTCCTATTTCTGTTAATAAAAACCGTCCAAATCCAGTTCATTGGGTTTTACTGGGAATCCATACTTTGTAATCCCATATGTGAACCTTTGGCCGGGCTAGAGTAAAAATAAAAGTACACACACACACACACACACACACACACACACACACACACACACACACACACACACACACACACACACACACACACACATAAAACTCTTTTCCCTCCTTTTTTCCTGTTCCGCTTTTTTGTTTGGTCTTTGTCCAGGGCACGGCTGTCAAAGGATGGCTTTCCTTGTCGGGGAATCAACCCCGTCTCCCGCGTGATAGGCGGGGATATTCAACACTTTACTAAAGGGGATGAGCACTTGCTAGAATCAGAGTATTGTCCGCATGAGGACTCTGTCCAATCGTACGAGGCAATGCACACTTAAAGGCTTCATCACGACTGCTGAAATATTCAGAATATTAACACCGATTGGAATACCGTTATATCTTTGGTCTAATAACCGCCTAAGAAACCTCCAAGATCCAAACAGAAAGATATGCACATGTACATGAAAATTAGAATCCAAAATGATTCTGTAAAATTTAAAATAGTTATTTTAAATATATTTGACAGGAGCCTATTTTTATTTGAGAGTAGTACGTCTTCCACGGCTACAGATAGCGCTGTACAGATGTGGTCCTGGAGCAGCACGGAGGAGTAACGACAGCAGGCTTGTTCTTGCTGGTTGTTGCTAGTGGGGACTTCCCATGCAGACCAAAGAATAAACAGATGTGGAAAATGTAGCTAGCTTGGTCAATTCCTGTTCTGTCGCTTTTTGTGCTTACGGTCCCCTTTGGTAGCCCGCCTCTTGTCACATAGATATCTTAAAGTTTATTAGCAAAACTGTTGGATCAGTCATATGATGAATTTGACGAGGAAGGAGGTGTTCGCAGACGAACGTACATCGTAGCCTTCCGAGGTGTAGTCAATCGTTTCATAATTAGTAACGTTATGAGTA